CCCCCCCCCCCCCCCCAACCATTCCCCCATAAAGACCCCTTGGGAGCTGTTTGAAAACGGCAGAAATTTGGATTTTTTCCAAAACGATTATAAGCCTCACTACACCTTTCTGTGTTGCCAAAGAAGGGGGCTAAACACCTTTTGCAGAGAATACCTTTCTGCGTAGGCGGCCTTTGGCCGCGCTTAGGGATTATAACCCTCACTAAGTAGAATTCTCCGTTCTGTCTTGCTAAAGAAAAGGGGCTGAAAACCTTTTGCAGAGATATTTCGTGGATATTTTTTTTGACAGGTCAGCTCGGAAACTTGCAGAAAATACCATATTTCCAACCGACATTATTAATAAATTAGTGCACAGATATAGTAAATTTTATTTTTGTAATAAAGCGTGACCTGTTATCTACAAGTGTGTGTAAAAGGTTTTTGATACGATTCACGCGTTTGGGCACAGCAACCCGAAATCGTTGTACAAATTCATAAAGAGTACCCGCTAACCCGCGCCCAGCAAACCAAATTTATTGCGGCGCAAAAGAAGGCGTGTGAATAATTGCAAGAAACTAATTGCTTACCAAATATGTAATTGATTTTATCACTGGCCAACTATAATCGGATGAGTATTCCAAATTTCAGAGCTGACAATAAGAAAGTTGGGCATGAATGCAGACAACCTACAATTTTTAAATTAAAAAAATCATATGGAGATTGAGGTGAGCGTGGCGGTATATTATTTTTATTTTTTTGGGGGAACCAACAACTACAACAATTATTAAAGGTCAAAGTTCTAATAAAGCATTTTTTAAATCAAACCTCTTCATGGATTTGGAAAATTTTGATGTCATTCGATAGAGAATTTATTTCTCTTTAATTTTCAAATACATATTTATACATATACCTTTTATAATCCTTAAGTGCGACCTACGTTTATTTGCAAAAGGTGCTCAGCGCATTTCCTTCGCATTACAGAAAGAGTATTCTACTTTGTGAGGGTTATAATCCATAGGTGCGGCCAAAGGCCGCCTACGCAGAAAGGAGTTCTCTGCAAGAGGTGTTCAACGCCTTTTCTTCGCAACGCTGAAAGAGAATTGTACTTTGTGAGGGGTTATAATCCCTAATTGCGGCCGAAAGCCGCCTACGCAAATAGGTGTTAAGCCCCTTTTCGTCGCAACGCAGAAAGGAGAATTCTATTTAGTGAGGGTTGTAATCATTAAGTGCGGCCGAAGGTCGCCTACGCAGAAAGAAGTTATACGCAAAAACAGTGTATACGATTTAATTGAGTGAATTCCAAAATACAAAACATCAATGTCTTTTATTTCTAAACAGCACTTGGAGAAAAGATCTAATTGCGCAACCTAGTTCAAAACTAGCATCTAACCTGGGTTGCGCACATTTGGAATTGCAATCTACTGAGGTTTAGAAACAAAAGATACTGATGCTTTGTATTTTGACGTTTTGGAATGCAGCCATTGTAGTTGTTGTTTCCTAAAAAAAAAAAAAAAAATACAGCTACGCTTACCTCAGTGATCTCATCTCTATCGATCCCCATATGATTTTTTTTTTTTTTTTTTTTTTAATTTGAGAATTGTAGGTATTCAGCATTTGTTTCGAAAGTTGCTTTCCCTAACTCGCAGAAAGTTGCAAGAATTTACAGAATTTTAGAAGAAAGCGTTCCGGGCTTGGTTCTCTGTCAAAGTAGGGGAAAAATGGGAGAGTAACATCGGCCCTCTCTTTGTCAGAAGTTGCAAGATATTACCCGAAGAATTTTTGCTGGTAAAATCCGGTAAATTGTTAATTCATCAGCTGTTCAAATGATTTATTTTTTTTTTTTGTAATATAAAGATACTTCCTAATTCTTTTTAAAAAGAATTAATTGGCCTGCAAGAAAGCTTCAAATTTGAATAAGCAAAAACAAAAGTGCATCTGAATTTTCACCTTATTAAATTCATCCTAGCGAAGAAACATCAAGTTTTGTAAGTATTTTTGTTAATATTCTGGTGTATTTGAGCAAAATTTAGAACAATGCCAAATGATAAAAGAACTGCTATGTAAACAAAAATAGCGTCCACGGTGTATTGACAGTTTTACCAGTTTGTACCTGAAAAGCGTTCCCGTACTTTTTGGGTTTTCTGTCTTTCTCTGAGAGGATTTTTTAATTTTCTGCAATACAATTGTGGNGAATGTTACTCCGAGTATTTTGGGGTTATTCACCGTCGGAATTGGTGTGTCATCGACGTG